TTCTCTTATGTTCTTGCCAGTTTGGTGTAGTGGTTAAGTGTGAGGACTCTAATCTGGGAGAACCGGGTTTGATTCCCCACTCCTCCACTTGCACCTGCTGGATGACCTTGGGCAAGCCATAGTTCTGATAAGAGCTGTCCTTGAAAAAGAGCAGTTTCTGTCAGAGCTCTCTCAGCCCCACCTACCTCACAGGGTGTCTGTTGTGGGGAGGGGAAGGGAAAGGAGTTTGTAAGCTGCTCTGAGACTCCTTTGGGTAGTGAAAGGCAGGATATAAATCCAATCTCTTATCTTTTTCTCTCTCTCTTCTTATGTTCTTATTATTCTGCATAACAGCTCCTGATTGCTAAATTTCACCTCGCTATTAGATCAATTCCATTTCTTCTGTTAGTCATATCCCAAGTAAAACACTGTAATTTTCTGACTGAAGATGCCCTAATCCAGTCCACTTTAGCTCACGCACTTTCAGGATTGCAATGTTGAAACATTCCATTCCACATTTTATGATTTGGAGCTCACCTTGATCCACACTTCTCACACTCCATGTTCCTATTATATGTGTCCAACAGCTTTGGACTTTCCTTTTGCATCCATTCAGATCAACAACTTAATGTCCTTTTGGCTTTTATCCAGTTGTGTCATTAAGACTAGTGCTGTTCATACTTGTCCTCTGCTCTTCCACAGTAACTGAGTGTCACCCAACCTGTGGGTCCTGTCTTCCAGCACTATGGTTTTTTTCCCTGTTTTGGATTGTTTCATTATGGGGTTTTCAAGACATGAGATGATTAGGAGTGGTTTACCATTGCCTTCTTCTGTGCAGTACTAACCAGAATTAGCTGAAGTGTCAGTGCTATTGTATATGACAGATCCAACTTCAACTTCCACTACTGCTGCCGCCCCTTAGCTAGTGGTTTACCATCCTCCACCCCCATCACCATTAGAACTGTCTGTTCTCTTCTGTTGATGTGGCCATTGGTCATCAAAGGGGGTTGATACATTTTAGTCTCAGCTGTGACCATTCCACCTTGAATGACTATGCTAGGAGTTCAGCTTCTTGACAGAGTTTACAGTCCTTAGGGAATTAGAAAGCCAGTGTGGTGTAATGGTTAAGAGTGTCACGTTAGTATCTGGAAGATCCAGGTTCAAATCCCCACTTGTACCATGGAAACTCTCTGGGTGACCTTGGGCCAGTCACCCTCTCTCAGCCTAACCTACCTCACAGAGTTGTTGTGAAGATAAAATGGAGGAGGGGAGAATGATATAAGCCACTTTGGGTCTGCATTGGGGATAAAGATGGGGTATAAATGAATTTTAAAAATGAATACATAATTAAACAAAAAAGGGAAGCAAAGGCCACATAAATATTGCTGTCAGCTTTGCTGACACAGACAACATTCCTCACTTTGGTTGCCCCTTAAAATGAATCCAATAAGGCACAGGTTAGAACTCATCTGAAAGACTATCTGGCCAACAGGAGGAGTTGGGCTGCTCTGCAGCCCACTGTGATCGTTTTGCTAAGCAGGGCTCTTTTTGTAGAAAAAGCCCAGCAAGAACTCATTAGCATATTAGGCCACACCCTTACATCACAGCTCATTAGCATATTAGGCCACACCCCTGACATCACAGCTCATTAGCATATTGGGCCACACCCCACATGTTACCAGAAGTGTGGTCATCCACCCACACCCACCTTTTGCTACTTATTCTGTTTATTTTGTTGTCAAAACCCTGGGCTTTTTTTGTAGCAGGAATTTCTTTGCATGTTAGGCCACACACCCCTAATGTAGCCAATCCTAATGAGTATCTGCTGTTAGGTGTGGCCTATTATGCTAATGAGTTCCTGCTGGCCGTGGCCAACTCAGGAGCCAGCCGGAACTCCGTTTCTGTGCGTTCCTGCCCAAAAATAGCCCTGTTGCTAAGTATTTTGCAGATAAAATCCCTTGCATCCATTCCAACTTGGACTCTACAGATGGTAACCTGAGAAAGGACCTTCTCTGTTATGGCACCAAAACTTTGGAACTCCCTAGGGAGATTCATCTGTCACCCTGTATACGTGTCATTTGCCAGCAAGTGAAGACTTTTTTGTTTTGTCTGGCATACCCCCAATAGCTGTTACTGCCTTCTTCAAAGTTCCTGAGTATCCCCACCTTACAAAAGTTTTTAGAATCTTAGCAATGTGGAAGTTTTCCTAACAACTTCAGGAAAATTATTGCACATAATAGGAGTGGCACTGAAAAAGTTTTCTGTCTAGCAATTGTCTTCAGACATACGAACGCACAAGTGTACATTTCTTTGTTTCTGTAAACTTTTATAAATTGTCAGGAAGACCACATTTTAATAGGCAAATGGCTAGTATTGGTTTATGGCATTTTTATTCCATACTTAATTATATGCCATTTTATGTCACTTATACATTTATGCCATTTATACAACTTGGATGCAAAAACAGCTGCCCAAATTTTGCTAATATGATAGGGGGAAATGATGTCTATAGTTTTGTCCTCACTGTGGAGACATTACGCACACAGACAGACATAATTCAACTTATAAGTTCAGTAACATTCTTTCTCAGAGACAGTCTGAAAAATTGCTTGTTTTGCAATTGTTGCCTGATATACCCTCAAGTTGGAACCTCTTGAACAATGTCTTTGTTCCTGGTCTATTATCTCTTTTTTTCATACTTGGCAAAAATTGGTGGCCCAGGGCTAGTGTGACATATTCCAAGAAATGGTAAAGAAGGACAGCAGTTATGACTGATATGCCTTGGGTGAGCTTCTGGATTATGTAGCAGACTAGGAGCATATGGAACAAAAGCAACAGTGTGCCCATTAAGAACAGGGGCTTCTCAGTGGAAGTGCCTTGAGGTTGAAACCCCCTATCCCCAAACAAATCTTCATATAAACACATACCTGGTATTGTGAAAGACAAAATACTATCTATACATTTCTATACTATTAAAAAAACAAAACAAAAACACAGTTGCAGTTTAAATGTTTTAATTCCAAATGAGACACCCTGATTAAAGATCTGCTAGCAGTAATTAAGAAAAAAAGGTTTCCTGGTCATCGATCAAGTAGTCTGAAAATGTTGGAGGAGAAAGCGCTTTCAAGGCTCTTCCTAGAAAGACAAGAGTTAAAAAGTAAGAAAACAGAATGATGTGAGACTACAGACCTGAAACAGAAGTACTTTGTTTTTTAAAATGCACAACTTTTAAAGATGAAAATATATCCACACTCTGGTTCCCTTATTGCTGCAAAGTGTCTCTAGAACTGTTTTCCTCTAAGCCACAAAAGAATACTTGGGGTACTGCCCTACGTCACTTCAACTGTATAACAGAATCTTGGGTAGTGAGTTGTTTTCTTCACTATTTAACTAGCAAAGGAGATTTCCCCCCCCGATGAGCTCCGCCACGCCCCCAACGTCAGCAATGTGGCTGCATCACTTCTGGCGGGGTTCCCCCCGGGGGCCAATTCCGCCGCGGTGGAAATCGGGCCTCCGAAGCGGGGGATTCCCCGCCCCCCGGGCCCATTTGGTAACCCTAGGGTCCAAAGATGGCTTTTTCAGAAGGAGGTACAACACTGCCTCCTTAAGTGCCTCTGGGAAGTGCCCCTCTAAGAGGGACTTGTTGATAATCTCCCGCAAGGTGCCCCGGAGCCCCTCGTGGCTAGCTTTAATCAGCCATGATGTACACGGGTCAAGGGGGCATGTGGTAGAGCGTACAATTAGGAGCAATCTGTCAGCTTCCTCTAGGCTGAGCGGGCTGAAATAATCCATAATGTGACTAGAAGATGTGCTAGGAGCCTCGAGTTCATTCACTGTATCAATTGTTGCAGGAAGGTCACGGTGGAGCAACAAAACTTTATCTGCAAAATAGCTCGCAAAAGCCCCCCAGCCAATATCCAATTCCCTATGATTTAGTCTAAGTTGTGACAGAGCAGTAATAGACCGAATTGTTCTACACAATTGGGCTCGGCGTGAGCTTGCAGACGCAATCATGGTCGTATAATACTGTCTTATTGAAGCCTTGACTGCCATTTCATAAACATCCTATAAGATGCTCTTGTAGCTTTGTTATGAGCATGCCGCCACTGCCTCTCTAGCCGTCTCAGCCCCCCGTTTCATAAGTCACAATTCCTGGGTAAACCATGGAGCGAGTCTAGACTGGGCATGCAGAGGGCGCCGGGGAGCAATCTTGTCAATGGCTGTCGAGAGTCGGCTGTGCCAGTCCTCTACAAGCTCATCCAACAAGGCGCCAGGGGGCTTTGGATCCCGAAGAGCCATCTGAAGCCGCACTGGGTCCATTTGTCTCCATGAGCGAGCCCAAATTGGCTCGCTGCCAAAACAGGGTTGGGGTGTAATATTTAAATGGGCCTTCAAGGCAAAGAGGCCCAACCATGGCACTGCCGAAGCAGTGATCCGGTCCACTGTAACCCCCATTATGAAGATCAAATCGACCTTGTGCCCAGCCCGGTGAGTGGGGGCCGTTAGAAGTTGGGAGAGTCCCAGGGCTGCCATGGATGACAGTAGGTCCTCTGCCTGCATAGAGGGTGCATCATCAGCATGGACACTGAAATCGCCCAGGACTATCAGCCTAGGGTGTTCCAAGGCCTAGCCTGTTACAGCCTTTACCAGGGATGGTAGGCAATTGCTGGTGTGTTGGGAGACTGGATCTTCCCTGATCAGTGGCAAGAGAAGAGTAATGATCTCATGAGTATCCTTTCTGCAGTTCTAGAATCTTGATTAGGCAGCTTCCCTGTACAATATTGCGCCATAATGCAGATTTAGAAATTGATTGAAATTGACAAATTGATTACATTAGCTGTTGATTGATTAAACTTTGTCATTCTTTTCTACAGATTTACAATGCAGTCATAATTAGAATGACAACTTTTTAATGCCCTTGACTTCAATGTTCTTAGAGAAGCACCCTTGACTTCAATGTTCTTAGAGAGGATGAGGATCCCACTATTATTTTCTAACCATAAAATTCTTAGTCTCCTTACCGCATCTTTGTTCTCTTTCATGCACGGCCCATCATGTTTCCGGCCAACATTTGTCTTGTGGTCTCTGAGTAGGAGGGAGAATGAAAGAAGAGTTAGGAACCTTAGCAAATAACTCCTTATATTTTGGGTGATAAAACCACCTCTTTTGAGCTTCTGAGCCTTGAAAGCTTCAATTGATGAACTTCTACTACCTTTACCCCAATGTTGTTTTTTTTAATGAGTGCCTCATTGTTATTACATTTCTTGATCCTCCTGCCATATTTTGATATTGTTGGGACTCTATTCCACTGTGCATATGCATGCACAAATGCACACACACACATATACATATGAAGGGGAAATTAACAGATTGCCCTTAGTGTAGTATAGTAGACTAAGTGATAGCTTAAGTAAACCTGGATACAGATCCTCACTGAAGCTTAGAAGGTAATTTGGGTCAATCACTATACCTAGACCATTGGATAGTGCTGATAGAGTTCCCATGCAAACCACCTTGAGTTCCATGGTAGAAAGTTAGGATGCAAATGTGATGAAGAAAAACATCTGAGATTACTAAAAAAACAACACCCCAACCCTGATGTTGTGAGGTAATGACGGGATATAATGAGATATTATTAATATTTATTGCCAAAAAGATACCTATATCTGCAGTACTTACACATTATGTTGACAAATCATGCATTCATTTACATATTCTTGATCATCTGTGCCACAGACTGGATGAGGAATGGATGGGCATTCAAGCTTCTCCGGTCTCTCCATAGAAGTCGGAATCTGACTACAATCAAGCTGTAAAAGAAGATAAATATAGTACCCAGATATCTGCTACATAATTGTACCACCCTTGATTCCAGCTATTTCTAGTGCATACATAAAGTAAAAAGATCATACTCTGAAGCTACCCTTGTCTTCAAAATTCTCCTTTCTCTCACACAAGGAAGATGGGCTATGTACATGATTGTACTGTAGCAGGTGAACCCCCCTTTAAGTGAATCGTTCGTTTTAAAAGAGGCTCATGGAAACAAAATGTCTCTTTGCCTGTCCCAAAGCAGGACATTCCCCACAAAATCACAGGGCTATACTGAGATGTCTACTTTCTTGGATACCCAGGCTCTCTAGGTTACAACTCTCTGACTGAAGAGAAGTCAGAAGTTTATTTCAAGGAAAATCCTTGCATCCCAGCCAAATATCACTTCTGTTTAGAAGAAGAAGAGATTTGATTTATACCTGAAGGAGTCTCAGAGCAGTTAAGAAATCTCTTTTCCCGTCCCCTCGCCACAATAGACACCCAGTGAGGTAGGTGGTGCTGAGAGAGCTCTTTTGAGGACCGCTCTTGAGATAACAGCTCTGAAAAAACTTGTGACTGACCCAAGGTCATGCCAGCAGTTGCAGGTGGAGAAGTGGGAAATCAAACCCGGTGCTGCCAGATTAGAGTCGGCATGCCTAACCACTACATCAAACTGGATCTCTTTTATCTTTTAAGTTTTTTTTAGATCAATCTATTAATTCTTGAAATTAGTAAATATGAAAGGATCACTATGATACAAAATATTCTTGCGCATGTACATGAAATCAGAAACAGAAATACATAATTTATCCCTTATTTAAAGATCAAAATACAATTTCTGTGTTTCTCATCTAAGCACTCTCAGAAAGATCAGGTAGTCTCATGCAACCCACATCTGAGAGATTCAGAGGTGTTTGGGTTGAGGCTATCTGAGGTTGGGATACGGAGTACACAGCTGAGAAAGTAAAATCTGTACATACTCTGCAAGTCTGAAAACTAAAGCAAATTGGCAGGCTTGCTGTTTGTTCAGCCAATACCTTTGACAGACAAGGGTCTATGACTGTGACAGTACAAAAGAAAATTAACTGGATAACTAGATCTAATGTGCATTCCTTACTCCCTGAATAAAATTTAAACTCTAACTTGAACATCTTCAACGGGAGGACTAGACTTCCCTAATTTAACTTCATACTATGAGGCAATAAATCTGGCAGATACAGTTAGGATTTTGTCTGATACCACAGACTGCAAATGGAAACAAACTGAAGAATCATACTTCGAACCAGAGGTCATTTCGGGGGGGATTGCGGGGGATCGCAGTTCCCCCGGGTGAGGTACGGGGGCGGGGCACATGATGAAGCCCCGCCCCCTGCTTCCGGCCACCCCGCTTCCGGCCCTCATTCAGCCAGGAGGAGGCAGGAGAAGAGGGAGGGTAAGTTGCTTCTTCCCTGCCTCTCCCCACCCCTGCCTGCCTGGGGCCACGGAGGGCCTTTGCGGGGCTTCCTTGCACTCCCGCCGGCCTTGCAGGTCCACCGCCAGGCCCCTCATGGGGCTCGGCAGTGGAGCTGCAAGGCCGGCGGCGGCCGGGACTGTTGGGGGCGGGGTGTGTGGCCTTATGACACACTTCCAGTGATGTCAGGGGGTGTGGCCTTATGACACACTTCTGGTGATGTCAGGGGGTGTGGCATATCCTAATGAGTTATGCTAATGAGTTCCCCTAGCTCTTTTTCTACGAAACGACCCCTGCTTCGAACCCTTACAACTCTCAGAATTATTTTGGAATCAAACAAAATTTAGACCAAAAATAATACAGGAAAATGAATTTTTGCAGAATTCACTAAAAAAAAATTGGGATAAATACAAGAAAAGCCTCTGTCCTGACCTCTCTCAAATGGCTACTTTTATAAACCAACAGTGGTTTACACTAGGACAAAGAAAATCTAGTTTTTAAAAAATGGAAGCAAGTGGGTATAACTCATATAAAAGACTTAGTAAAAAAGGGAAAATTGTACAACAAAGCTGAATTGGAATCAAAAGTTGGGAAAAAAATCCATGGTATACATATTTACAAGTGAATCACATGGTCCATATGCTATAAGATTCAGAAACTTTTACATGACATAACTTCCTTTGAACTCATTCTTGAGAAACAAAATGGAGAGATTAAAGGTCTCATTTCAAACGTATATAAATCTTGATCTCTGCAAACATTGTAATCACCAAACAATATCAAATACGGACTGCCAAGACAGAATAAAAGAAACAAATTGGCCAGAATTTTGGAAATCTCCTAGTATGTCATCTAAGATTTTTGCTATAAATTTTAATTCTTTTAAGGTCATAAATAGACGGTACCTTCGTCTGATAAGAATTCACTGTATAAATCCTAAATTAAGCCCAAAATGCTGGAAAAACTCTAGCCAAATAGGAAATTATGTACATTGTTGGTGGCTTTGCCTAGTTATGAAAAAAATTGGCTTCAAATTATAAAACATATTCATAATTACAGGGACTAACATACCGGAATCAGGTCTCTCACATTTCCTGAGTTCTGGAAAAAATTCAAATAAAACAAAATTAATCTCTTATCTTTTAGCGATTGCACAAATTTTAATAGCAAAAAATTGGAGAGAAAATCCAAGTCCTACTCTTCAAATGTGGCAAAACAAGTTATGGAAACACTTCGTATTAAGTAAGATTATGTGCCAATCAACAGAGCCTAATTTGCACAATGATCAACAAACATTTCACATTTTCTGGTTTCCTGTAGTGGACTATTTAACAGAAAAGGAGATAATCCCTAAAAATCCATATTATCAAGACTTGTTATATTTTTGAACAGTTACAAAGTTATGTTTAAATTGATTTGCTGTATCCAATAAGATTTATGCAAATTATGTATAGGAAAGGTAAAATATTCAATATTTGTTTTACAATTAAAATTAAAAATTGTTTTATAAAAAAATAGTGTGGATTCCTTAGGTAGCTATATAAGGAACTGCTTAGTAGGAGACAGCATATATCATCTCAGACCCAGAATATCAGTAGTAGGCAGATGCTTTCTCTGAGTGGCAAAGCATATTAGACTACCATAGATGGCATAGGATTAAAGGTTATAGAATTAGGAAGCCAGTGCAGTGCTTTTAGCACAGGCTGGATGTGCTCCCAAATAGGGAGTTTTATCAACAGCCTGGCTGTGGCATTTGGCACCAGTTGCAGCTTCCGGATTTGCAACAAGGGCAGCCCCATGTAGAGGGCATTACAGTAATCTAATCTTGAGGTGATCATCACATGGATCACTGTTGCCAAGTCACCATGTTCAAGAAAGGGAACCAACTGCCTAATCAGCTGAAGATGGTAAAAGGCCGACTTGACAGTGGCTGCTCCCTGGCCTCCATCGTTAAAGAGACATCCAGGAGCACTCCCAGACTCCTAACCTCCGACGCTGGCACCAATGGGGCCCCATCAAAGATTGGAAGCGGGATCCCTACTCTTGGACCACCGCGGCTCAGGCACAAAACCGCTGTCTTTGTCAAATTCAATTTCAGCCAGCTCAGCCAAAGCCAACCAGCCACAAGCTGTAACACCTAGTCTAGATCTTCTGGTTTGGAGTCAGACTGGCTGTCCAGCAGCAGATAGAGCTGGGTGTCATCTGCATACTGCTGACAACCCTAGCCCATGCCTCCGTGCAACCTGGGCAAGAGGGCGCATATAGATGTTAAAAAGTATTGGGGACAGCACCACCCCTTGGGGCACTCCACATTCCAGTGGGTGCCTTCGGGACAGCTGATCCCACAGCGCCACTCTTTGTCCCCGATCATGGAGAAAGGAAGCAAGCCAGTGCAAGGCTAGTCCCTGAATTCCAGTGTCAGCAAGGAAGTGAATCAGTAGCTGAGGGTTGACCACATCAAACACAGTTGACAGGTCTAACAATAACAGCGCTGCTGACCCACCCCGATCCAGATGCCTCTGGAGGTCATCTGTGAGGGGGACCAGTGCCATCTCCATCCCGTGACCCAGACGAAAACCAGACTGGAAGGGATCTAGAATGGAAGTGTCATCCAGAAAACCCTGTAACTGGATTGCCACTGCCCTCTCTATTATCTTGTCCAAATAGGGCAAATTGGAAACCGGCTGATAGTTGGCCAATTCGGCCGGGTCCAAAGATGGCTTTTTCAGAAAGGGGTGCAACACTGTCTCCTTAAGTGCCTCCAGGAAGTGCCCCTCTAAGAAAGACTTGTTGATAATCTCCTGCAAGGCACCCCAGAGCCCCTCATGGCCAGCTTTAATCAGCCACGATGTACATGGGCCAAGGGGGCAAGTGGTAGGGCATGCAGTTAGGAGCAATCTGTCAGCCTCTTCTAGGCTGAGTGGGCTGAAATAATCCATAATGTGACTAGAAGAAGTGCTAGGAGCCTCGAGTTCATTCACTGTATCATTTGTAGCAGAATAGCTCGCAAAAGCCTCACAGCCAATATCCAATTCCCTACGATTTAGTCTACCTTGTGTCAAGGGCGTAGACTTTGAAGAGAATGACAGAGCCAATACAAGCCATGGGGGAGCAGATAGAAAAAACATTGGGGGACCAACTGGAGAAGCAAACTCAGATTCATCTGAAACATCTAGAAGAAGTCCAGGAGAAGAATATAACAGCATTGAAGGAACTGGTTACTACAGAAATAACTTCAATCAAGCAAGAAATGGAAGGAGTTAAGAAGGATGTTCAAGCAAATGCAACCAAGACTACAGAGACAGAGGAGAAGATACAAAAAATAGAAGAGAAACAAGATTCTTTGACTCAACAAATTACAAGATCAGAGACAATGATGGAGTTCAGAAGGATGCAGACTCATCTGAGATTCAGAGGCATTAAGGAAACAGAGAATGAGAACTTAAAAGAAAAAATGATGGAAGTGATAACGGCTTTTTTGGGCGAGGAAGAAGGGTCAATGGACTCAGACTTTGATTTGATTTATAGAGTGAACTCCAGAATTGCAGAAAAGAAGAATTTACCAAGGGATGTAATTGTACAATTTGTAACAAGATCAACAACAGAGGAGATATTCAAGAAGCAATTCAACGTCCCTTTTGTAATAGAGGGAAACAAAATTATGGTGATGAGAGAACTCCCAAGAACAATACTGCAAGACAGGAAAAGGTATAAATCCTTGGCTGACAAACTCAGAGCTTTGAGCATCAGATATAGATGGGAGATTCCACAAGGTTTATCCTTTACGTATCAAGGTGGGAGGATTCAGATCAGATCGATGATGGACTTTTATAAATTTAAGGCGGACAATGCGGACGTCTTTGGAGAACTTTAAAATAAAACGCATAATGGAGTACAAATTGTTGTCATGGAATGTTAATGGATTAAATTCACCAAACAAGAGGAAAAGAATCAATCATTGGATACAGAAACAGAAATGCAACGTGATATGCTTGCAAGAAACACATATTAGAAAACAGGATATAAAATATTTAAAGAATGCTTTATTTGGAATTGAATTTTGTTCTGCGGCCTCAAACAAGAAAAAAGGAGTTGTGACATATGTGAAGAAGGAGTTACAACCTACAGAAATTTTTAAGGACATAGATGGCAGATACGTGGGTGTGGAATTAATGATTCAGCAGAAAAAAACATTGTTGATCAACGTGTACGCACCCAATGGAGCAAAGGAAAAATTTTTTAAGGATATAACTGACCAATTACAACAATTGACTTATGAGCAAGTTATTATGGCCGGAGACTTTAATGGGACAATAGATCGTGTAGACAGAAAACCACAAAAGGACAACGAATTCAGCGGAAAACTGCCAAAGAATTTTTTTGAATTAGTTAAGCAAGAAAAATTAGAAGATGTTTGGAGGAAATGGAACCCGATGCAGAAAGACTTTACTTTTTATTCCAATAGACATTGCTCTTTTTCCAGAATTGATATGATTTGGATGTCTGAAGAATTATCAATGAAAACACATAAGACTGAAATTTTGCCAAGATGTAATTCAGATCACAATCCGGTGGTATGGAGTTCCACAGAAAGGAAAAAACCCTTTCTGTGGAGGATTAATGAAGACTTGTTGGATAAGAAAACAGTAATTGAGATGTTAAAGGAAGAAACGAAACAATTCTTTCAACAAAATTTAAATAAAGAAACACCGATACAGATTGTATGGGATGCTTATAAAGCGGTGATGAGAGGAATTCTCATCTCGCAAAACGTGAAGCAAAAAAAGGAAAAACTTCAAAAACAAACAGAAGTGTTAGAAAAAATTGCTCAGAAAGAAAAGGAGGCATGACTAAACACCAAGGCGCATGGAATGCTGTTACCTTCCCACTGAAGTGGTACCTATTTATCTACTTGCAATTTCTTGCTTTCGAACTGCTAGGTAAGCAGTAATAGACCAAATTGTTCTACACAGTTGGGCTGGGCGTGAGGTTGCGGATGCCATCATGGCTGTATAGTAAGGTCTTTTTGCGGCCTTGACTGCCACCTCATAGTATCTCATAAACATCCTATAAGATGCTCTTGTAGCTTTGTTATGACCATGCCGCCACTGCCTCTCTAGCCGTCTCAGCCCCCGTTTCATTAGCCAAAACTCCTGGGTACCTCCGAGAACTAACACCTCCTTGAACTAACACCAAAAGAAGATGTCCTCCTCATCATAGGGGACTGGAATGCTAAAGTAGGAAGTCGAAAGGTAACCGGAATAACAGACAAGTTTGGCCTTGCAGAACAAAATGAAGCAGGGCAAAGGCTAACAGAGTTGTGTCAAGAGAACACACTGGTCATAGCGAACACCCTCTTCCAACAACCTAAGAGGCGACTCTACACATGGACATCACCAGATGGGCAACGCCGAAATCAGATTGATTATATAGTTTGCAGTCAAAGATGGAGAAGCGCTATACAGTCAGTTAAAACAAGACCTGGAGCTGACTGTGGCTCAAATCATGAGCTACTCATTGCAAAATTCAGACTTACACTGAAGAAAGTTGGGGAAACCACTAGGCCATTCAGATTTGACATAGATCACATCCCTGATGAATATATGGTGGAGGTGAAGAATAGGTTTAAGGGACAAGATTTGATAGAGTGCCTGAAGAACTATGGACAGAAATTCGTGACATTGTACAGGAGGCAGCAATCACCACCATCCCAAAGAAAAATAAATGCAAGAAAGCAAAGTGGCTGTCTGATGAGGCTTTACAAATAGCAGAGGAAAGAAGGAAAGCAAAAGGCAAAAGTGAAAAGGAAAGATTTACCCAACTGAATGCAGATTTCCAAAGAACAGCAAGGAGAGATAAGGAGGCCTTCCTGAATGAACAGTGCAAAGTAATAGAAGAAAACAATAGAATGGGAAGGACTAGAGATCTCATCAAGAAAATTGGAGAAATCAAGGGAGCGTTCCATGCAAAGCTGGCCATGATAAAGGACAAAAACGGTAGGGACCTAACAGAAGCAGAAGAGATTAGGAAAAGATGGCAAGAATACACAGAAGAACTATACAAGAAAGACCTCAATGTCCTTGACAAACACGACGGTATAA